GCGATCGGGCGCGAACCGCAGTCCCAGTCAGGAACGTGGCTGTGGCTGTCAAAACGAGAGCCCCGTTCCAGGAAAGAGGTGTGGCCGGCGAGATGCGACAGTAGTACCATCACGAGGCAAGAATGTGGTCAATGCCGATACGAGAGGGCCATTCCAAGTCAGAAAAGTGGCCACCGCTACGGCGACAGCGCCATTCCGAGTGAGATAAACGGCCAGCACACAAAGGCGAGAGCGCCAAGAATTCGTGCTGAGGCGACAGCAAGTCGGGTACGCGACAAGCGCTGACGCGAAGGCAGAATTCGGGGACACGAATGTGGCCAGCGCCCAAACAAGTGCGACCTTCGGAGTCGATAATGCAGTGGGCGTCTTGGTGAGACTCTCAATCCGAGTCAGAAGGTTGATGGCGCTTGGGCAAGAGCCTCAATTCGAATCAGGAGTATAGCCGCCGCTGAAAGGAGAGCCCAAGCGCGAGTCAGGAGTGCGGCTATCGCCAGCTCTTGAAATGAGATGCAAACGTACTTGCAGAACCGACTCTGCTGACTGAAACCAGCGACTCGTTTCGGCTGAGCGCTACTGCAAGCTCGGTGCCACGGCATCTGTATGTGCTGGGCTCTATCAATGTACCATCATTGGGTACAGCTTAACACTGAGACAACTGAATTCTCAAAAACAAGTGTGAGAACTCAATGGAGCTCTTCGGAATGCGATCGCTTCGGCTGACTTGAGCACCCGAGCTGCATGTGTCCAACGATCTAATATACTATAGACTATAGCTGTGCTTTTTGCCAGCAGATACCCAGACATCCTCCCGTCACTTCAAGAGTGGCCCCTCTACCCACTCGGCCTGAACTGTGAGTTCCTTGGCATCGGTGTTGGCCAGAAGATTGACCGCCGACTCCTGCTAGACAGGGATACCAAGGCGTGAAATGTTCGATATTCTCGCCCTCTCACTGGTTCCCCCTCCGTGGGGCCGCGAACATTGGTCAGCCCGCCTCCTTGGATCTCCTTGGGGGCCCACAGCGGCCAAGTCTGTTTGATAGCTTCAGCGTCTCTGTTCGAGTGCCTCGATGTTCGTCTCATCATGGCGTCGGTGGTCCCTCTTCGCACCCCTGATGTATGGCATCGCCTGAGCCTGAAGGACACCCGTGGTCGCTCGGACTCCAGCCGCGTCTGGGTCGTGGGCGTCGTTGATCTCGAGCGTGGCCTGAGCTCTCAGAGGGTCACGTGGGACTCTTCCCTGAAACTTTGCCCGGCGCTCGGGCCATCGTCGAGCTCTCGGGCGTCCCGCAATGGTGGGGCGATACACGAGAGGGGGATCAGGGGCTGCAAGGAAGGGCCCTAAAGGGGCCCAAAAAGGCACCGCTGGGCTCCCCCGAAGGTTCACGACAGTTTCACCTTTGCTCCCCCCCTCCTTTTATTGCCCTCCCTCCCACTGAACAACGCTCGGAGCTTGCAAAACCTGGACACGGTCGAAGCTCGGGCCGGCACTGGACCGGGCAGCTCGTCGTTCTCGCGCGCCTGCCTCGGCTGTCGGTGCTCGCGGGGTTGTGGTCAGGGTGTGGAGGCGCCCACGTGCTCCAGAGGGCACGGCCCGATTTTGTCCCAGGGGCTTCCGCCGTTCCGCGAGATCCCGCGAAGACAGTACTCGACGATGTCGTGCGGTGCTCTGGCGCCCAAGGGGGGGGTGGACGAGGGGGAGACAGGAGAGAAATGCGTACCGGTCCTCCTCCTCCTCCTCCTCCTCCTCCTCCTCCTCCTCCTCCTGCTCCTCGGAGGAAGGGTGGTGGGGGTCAGTGACCGCGAGGGACTGATTTCGTGGTGGTGCTGTGCACGAAGCCAGTTTGGGGGGCCAGCTGGGGCCCCGTCGGGCTCTCCTTGGGCTCCTGCTTGGCTTCGTGGGGCCCTCCTGGGTCACGTCTGCGCGATGACTCTCGGGTGAGGCCCATCTGAAGGAGCAAAGGCGAGAACGCTCAAGTGATACACACGAGCAATTGTCACTGGGAGCCAGAGTGGGGCCGTCTTTGGGCCAAGTGGGGCCATCGTGAAGGCCCTTGTGGTCTATATTTGGCCATATCGACGGTCCGGAAGGCAATCCTGCCTGCCTTGGGCCACATTGAAATAGTGTAGGCCCATGTTGAGCGCGTCTATGGCCTGGTGGGCCAATCTTGGGTTTCTAGAGATTTCAGTGCGCGGTAGTTGTGTTGGTGAGGTCGTCGCCCACCCCTCATCAGGGTCTTGCCATTTATCTTTGTTCTTTGTTGTTGTTTCTCTCTCTCTCTCTCGCTCTTTCTCTCTCTCTCTCTCTCTGTCTCGCTCTCAAAAAAAAATCGGACCTGTCTTTCGCTCGTTCTCATTCTCTCCACCTCGGGAGGCGTCTCGAGCGGGTTTCTCTCGGGCGGGAGGAGTGTGGCCAAGACCCCGCCCCGCGCGCACACGACTGCTCCGGCTCATGGAAAAGGGTGGGGTCGGGGCGCGAGGGGGAGGGGGAGAGACGCGCACTCGCCAGCAGAGGGCGCGGGAGCGGACCCGCTCGCGCTCTGCACGACCATCTCGGACTTCGTCGCCATCGAGTCCTCGGCGGAGGGGGCGGTCGGAGAGCCGCCTGCGAGGTCGCCGTGCTAGAGCCGCGGGGCGGGATCCCGCAGGGGGAGGGGGAGGAGGAGGAGGAGGAGGAGGAGGAGGAGGAGGAGGAGGAGGAGGAGGAGGACGAAGACGAGGAGGAGGACGAAGACGAGGAGGAGGAGAAGCAGGAGAATAAGAATGAGGAGGAGGAGGAGGAGGAGGAGGGCACCCGAGCCACGGCGGCCGTGCGCGGCGGCCGGCGTGGGGCTGCTCCTGGAGGCACGCCGTGCGGGGAAGCGGAGGCACGCGCGGCCTCGAGCGGGCGGGCAGTGCCCGCGGGAATGCCCGCGCAGACGGCCCCCCTCTTCGCGAGGCGGGGATGTATCCACATCCGCCGCCTGGGAACCGACGTCCCGGTGCCCTAGCGGGCGGCGGAGATGGCTGGATTTCGGTCACCGGGGGCTGCCGAGGCTCCGAAAACTGATCCTCCAGGCGGTGGTCATGTATACATTCCCGCCTCGGACTTTTTGAGCGTCGCTCGGCTGCACGCGCAGGTGACCGTTGCGCACCTGTTCTTGGGAGAGGTGCCCACCCACGTCGACCTCACCTGGCAGTTTGCAAAATCATTTAAAGAAATGAAACAGCATCGGCCATGTCTGAGCAGACAACAATATGGAAGAAGGGAAGAAGGCTGCGCAGGTGTGGAAACTTTGATGTGGGCTTACATGACGTCGGAGGCTATCCGAGCTTCGCAGAAGTTCGTAGAGATGTCCCCAACACGTCAAGTTCGGTAAAGCCAATCAAAATCATTCAAAGCGGAGGACCTTCCAGCGCTTCTCGTTCTGCTGACCCCTTCTCCCCCCTCGCAAAAGCCAGGGCACAAGATTTCCTTATGTTAGGGGGGAGGGCCAGTGTTCTGGGGCCGGGTTACCCAGACCACATTTACCCACGGTCTGTACCGCACCCATCTTGTTGATTGACCTTTTAGGGACGAGCTACCCCTAGAGTTAGGTCGGGCGGGCGTGTCCCCTACAGGCGGATTTTGGACGAAAAATATAGAAAGTACTTAAACCATGCTCCAAAATAAACAAAAAAATCAACTAATATAAAAATCGCCCCCTATGTTTTAACTATTTTCGAATATCCCCCCTGTAGAGGGACAGGCTGACTTAACCCCAGAGTGGCTCGCTCCCCGATTTCCCGAGACCGTCCTTGACTCTCCAAGGGCTGTGAAAGGCCTCACAGACGCGTCCCAGGGCGTTTCAAGCCAAAACCAGGACGCTTCAAGGCGGCAACAAGGCAGGCCCAAGGCGGCACGATCCAATCTCCACAGGTCCTCTATCGGGGGGAACGAAAGGGGGGGATAGCAAGGGGTAGGGTAGAGAATCAGCTCACGTAGCTGATTTTGCTGGGCCTCCCCGTGCCGGGAGACGCCCATGTATCGAGGAATGGGCCTGGCGGCGGGGCCGAAACCAGCTGCATGCAGCAGATTTCTTAACCCCCCCTTTCCCTATCCCCCACTTTCGTTCGGCCCGAACAATGCGGGCCCAAGGCGGCACGATCCAATCTCCGCAGGTCCTCTAGCGTCAATAAGCACAGCGAGCGGACCAGATACTATCGAAGACCACGGGTGCGACCAGAAGTAAGGGAGTGCGTGCGATCCATCCGTGCTCGATGTACAGAACTTCCCCAACAAGATTCACACACAGCAGCCGTGCTGGCGTAGGTCGTGGCACGTCGCGGCAACTTCCAAGAACATTGCAGAAAGTCTCCACGAAGGCTTGGCACAAGGAAGGACACGAGGCCAGGATGCTAAATCAAGGTATGACGACAGGAGATGGCACAGGACGTACAGGAGGATTGCAACAGGCATGGGGGGCAGGCAAGTCCTCTTTCGACTCTGCAGTCATGGCGGTGATGCTCTGTTCTTCGTCCTGGGTCCTGCAGTCGGAGATAGCAACAGAACCGGACGAGGCGGGGGGACACATCAGGGGCGAGTTGATAATGGGATCGGGGTTGGGGAGGATGCAAGGTCGTCTACCCAGGCAGTACCTCTTCTCTCCTTCTGACGCTCACTGTCAAGACAGGCAGGCAGGAAGCCAGTCTGCAGCCTGTACAGCCTCCTTGTTTTTTTTGTCATTGTCAACACGTCGAGGGAGGAGGCGGCCGAGGAAGAGGAGACCTCTCCTATCCTCCTCCCCCCTTCCCCTCTTCTTCTTCCTCTCCCCATGCCCCCCAGCGGCGAGCCCGGGGAGGAAGCGAGAGAAGGGTCGGGCCGCCTCGGAAGGCTCGGAAGTCCCCCGGCCTCCTGAGAAACTTTCTGCGCCTGCCCCGAAGACGCAGAGAACCTCTCGGAAGTTCGGAGGCCTTCCGAGAAGTTTCGCCGCCTTCTGAGAAGGCCTTGTCCTTCTCCCGGGGGCGCGCAAACATGGATTAGCGATCCATGGATTTGGCGCGCGGTCGCCAAATCCATGGATCGGGGGAGGCATGCCCTCCCCAAAATGCGGCCAGTGCCGCCTCGTTCGGCGGCGGGAACCCGCGATTTCCCATGGAAGCGGGGCCCGTCGCTAATCCACGCCCCCTTGATCCATGTTTGCGATCGCCTGACCCACCCCACCCTCCAATGCTCGTGGGATCGGGCCCGCCCCCCTCCCCCCGCTCTGGATGGGTACCCCCCGTGTGGTCGGGGCCCTGTGGGCGGGGCGTGGTCGTCGTCGTCGTCGTTGCGATCGCCTGATCCTCGCTTCCCCCCCCCCCGCTCGCGGCCGGTCCCCCTCCCACCCCTCGTTCCCTCAGGGCGGGGTCCCCGCCCGCGGGCGCAGAAAGAGGCCTGGGGCGGCGGTGCCCGCCCCGGCCCGGAGCGCAGCCCGCGCGGGTCAAGGTCCCGAAGCATCCCGGGGGCTTCGGAGGAGCAGCATCGTTTCCCGGGTCGTGCCAGCGCTCGGCTGGGCAGACGGTCTCGACGCACACGCGGATCATTTTGGGGTGCGGAGTGACCGTCGCGGGCAATTTGGGGAGCCTTTTATGCGGCCCGCGATCAGTATCGTTTAACCGACCCCCATCCCCATCCCCGTCCCCTTCGAGACCCCCACCAAATTGCCCTCCCCAGTTGGGGGTACACCCCTCGAAACCCGAAGGGAGTGAACCATATCCCCATCTAGGGGGGCAACTCGGCGCCTGTGGGGCCCAGGCCACGCCGCTGGGGATGGGGAACGAGGACGACGAGGACGACGAGGACGACGACGACGACGACGACGACGACGACCGAGTGCGAGCGGGCAAGGGGGGTATGAGACAGGGGAGGAGGGAAGAGGAACTGCAGGAGGGCGGGGAAAAGGACAGGCCTCCTCCTCCTGTTCCTCCTCCTCCTCCTGAGGAGGGCGGAGAAGAAAGCGGGGGGAGGAAGGAAGGGAGGAGGACAGGGGGTACTGGTGTTGTTGGAACAACACCATCGACATAATTCATGAGATGGCCCAATCAACTGTCTGGCAGATGCTCTGCGGAAGCGGGCCGCTGGAGTGCTCGAGTGGCTGGTCAAGACATACACATTATGATGCTGTTTGCATTCTAGATGCCTTGCGGCAACGGGCCGCTGAAGCTTTCAACTAGCCAGTTCACACATACATCCTCTGATGCTGATTGGGTTCTACCTTCTTTGCGCCAGCGGAATGCTGAAGCACTCAACCAGCTGGTCAATATACATCCTCTGATGCTGCTTGCAATCGGATGCTTACTTCCTCTGCTGATGTTTGCATCCTCTGATGCATGCGCCATTCCTGAATGCAGCCTTTCCTTCGGGCCGCCATGCACACATATTTGGTAACATAATGATGGCGACGTGATTAACCGCGCTCCTGGGGCAACGCACTGGGGAGAAAGTTGCCAATACAATACAAATGAGTAAATCCGAAGGTCACCCCTCACTATGTCCTACATGGAACGCACCCCTCGGACCGCATGCAGATCGAATGCACGGCCCCACACTCCCTGGAAAGGGAGGGGGCGTGCCAGCATTCAACGCTCCATTGCGCTCCATCGTCTTCTTCCCTCTTCCGACTCCTCCTTCCCTGCCTCCCTCGCCCGTCCTCCATCCTCCCCTCGTTCGTCCTCCTCGTTATCCTCCTCCTGATCCTCATCCTCACCCTCCTCCTCCTCCTCCTCCTCCTCCTCGTCCTCCTCCTCCTCCTCCTCCTTATGATGATGATGATGATGATCATCATCATCATCATCATCATCATCATCATCATCATCAGCATCAGCATCAGCATCATCATCATCATCATCATCAGCATTATCATCATCACCATCATCATCACCACCACCACCACCACCACCACCACCACCATCACCACCACCACCACCACCACCACCACCACCACCACCATCATCATCATCATCATCATCATCATCATATCATCATCATCATCATCATCATCATCATCATCATCATCATCATCAGTCATCATCATCATCATCATCATCATCATCATCATCATCATCATCATCATCATCATCATCATCATCATCATCATCATCTCATCATCATCATCATCATCGTAATGGCCACCGTCATGGTGATGGTCATCACCATGCAGGGGCATCCTAAAATGGATGCCCCATCATTTTAGTCAGATTCGAATTCGTCCGCATCATCCACATCATCATTAACATCATGATCATCAGCATCAGCATCATCATCAGCAACAGCATCATCATCACCATCATGGGCATCAGCATCAGCATCATCACCACCATCAGCATCATCATCATCAGCATCACCATCATCATCAGCATCAACATCAGCATCAGCATCACCATCATCATCATCATCACCACCATCATCATCATCATGATCATCATCATCATCACCATCACCATCATCAGCAGTATCATCATCATCATCGTCAACATCATCAACATCATCAACATCATCAGCACCATCCGCATCATCATCCGCATCATCATCATCATCATCATCATCATCATCATCATCAGCATCAGCATCAGCATCAGCATCAGCATCCGCATCATCATCATCAGCACCAGCATCATCCTCAGCAGCAGCATCAGCATCAACATCATCATCATCAGCAGCAGTATCAGCATCATTATCATCATCAGCATCATCATCATCTGGATCATGATCCTGATCATGATCCTCGTCCTCATCACCACCTACATCATCAGAATTGTCATCGTCATGGTGATGGTCATCACCATGATCATTAGCAGCAGCACCACCACCATCCAGGGGCATCCAAAAATGGATGCCCCATGTCGTAGTCAGATTCGTAAACATCCGCATCCTAGCCATTGTCCCCATTAATCATCATCTTCATCCTCCTCCCTCCTGATCCTAATCGTCCTCCCCCTCCTCATTCGTCCTTTCCCGCGCGTCTCCCGGGACATAACCAGCATCCTCACTTGCTTCATCGTCCTCCTCCTCCTGCTCCTCCTCCGTCTCCTCCGCCTCCGCCTCCTCCTCCTCCTCCTGATCCTCATCCTCCTCGTCATCCTCATCCTCCTCCTGCTGATCCTTCTCCTCTGCCTCCTCACCCTCCTCCTCCTCCTCCTCCTCCTCGTCCTCCTCCTCTTCCTCCTCCTCATCCCCCAGCATTGCCATTGGTACCATATCTCTCCTCCACTTCCTCGCCATCCCCGTCCCTTCCCTCCCTCCCGCCTCAGTCTCCTCATCCCTCCCTTCTCTCCCCTTCCCTGCACCCTCTCCTCTGCCCCCCCAATGTGCAAAGCTGGACACGTCGAGCAGTGACGCAGGGCCTGCATTCAGGTTTACATTTGGGGGGGGGACGGGGGGGAACATGACCGCCGCGGACAAGACGAAGTGTCCAGCCCACTCACGGGCGGCATGGAGGTACCCACATTGGCGTTGTACGGATTATGACAATCAGCGTAATGACCCGTTCTTCGACCGCTCCCAGCAAAACGCAGCACGAGGAATCACGATGGCCAAAATTTCGAACGTCCTCGGCAAAACGTAGCAACGATACCGTTCCCATGCGATGGTCGCTATTAGTAACAACGCTGGTAGAGGGGGAGGAAGGGGAGGGGGCAGGAGGGAGGACGAGGAGGTTGGGGGGAGGAGGAGGTCTCCCCCTCGGCGTCCCTCGACCTGATCCCTACACTCCATAGATTTCAAGTCAAACCAACACACACCTCGGGCAATACGTTCAGTCTGGGGGGAGGCGGACCGATCACCCATGCCAACACGATGCGGTGTTTTAGATTACCCCGTGAGCGGGACGGAGTGGAAGCAGGTAACCGAACGTACGGCACTCCACGCCCCAGTCCCATCACGGGTGTGGTTCTTTCTTGGGGTAAGGCGCACATTGGCTTCTTGGATAAGGATCATAGGCTCGACCAAAATCAAAGGAAGAGCAACGCACGCATTCCGCCAAACAGATGCCTAACATTACAACATTGAATGAACTGACTCCCTAATTCATCCCATGCGTAGCATGATATCTCCTCCTCCTCCTCATCCTCCTCTTCCTTTCCTCCTCTCCCCAAGGCTCAAGCCGAGACGTGTCCGAACGCCTAAAGCGGCAGATGCCTGATCCTGCAACACCATGACGAATCTAGTGCTTGCTCGCTCGCGCAAGCCTCCAAGATCGCGACCCAACACCACATGCTCCCCTCTTGTACAGCACCCGGGGTCCGAGTGGCACTCGCAAAACAAAGAACCCTGCGAAAGAACCAACCCAACAGACAACCCGTGCAACGATGACGCACGATGAGGATGCAAGGGCCTCGGAAGGCCGTGCCGACACACTTTGGGCCAGCGAACACGCGGCCAAGGAGGGGCCGAAGGGGCAAGGACGCAGGAGTAGCCTTGGAGAGTCGCCCATCCTTCCTATGCGGGCTGACTGCATGCAAAGCCAGGGCGCGGTCCTCTCCTCACATGCCGCGCGCTGCGGGACTGGAGGGAGGTTCGGGACAATGCGAACAGCTCGCCGTCGCTCGGACGTCCGTTCTCCCGTGCATTCTTCGATTCGTGCGTTCCGCTTTCTTGTAGGATGATCCGATCTGCTCCTCGATGATTCGGTGGCAACTCACGGGAGCCTCCCGTACCATCTTATCGACACTTGCGAATCGACGCCAGTCGACGCTAGATCGACGCCAGTAGACGCGACATCGACGCTAATTGACGCTAATCGGCGCTATCTCAACGACTCGCAGACGCTAGTCGACGCTAAAGACAGAATGACGAGGCTACAGAAGGATCCCATGATTTGCTACCGGATACGAAGGCTCCCGTGCAGCTCCAGAAGCAGTCGGCTTGAAACAATAGTATGGAGGCAAGCAAATTCCACAGCAGAGTGGGCGGGCGGTCCCGCAGGCGCAGCAGCTTGTGGTGCCGCCCATCGCAAGCCGCGGGAGGCACCCCGGCGCCGAGGGGACCACCGGCCTGAAGCTATCTGTAAATAGCAAACCAGAAGTAGAAGCCTGGCTCGCAAGCGCAGCAACACTCTCGAGAAGTCGATTTGCAATTATCTGGCAGCCCGACCGCAATGCGCGGCAGCTCCGACGCGAGCGGTGACACGATCTGAGGTGCATTCGAGTCCTGAGTGTCCAACGCTTCCGATGAAGATGAACTTATAGACCCAAGCATACGCACACAGCGTACATGCCGATTCGCAGAACAGACACCATAGAGGACAATACGATCGCTAGCAATGTCAGCATCAAAGTGGATGGCGACTTTGATACTGTCAGCAGCACTCGGCGGCCGCCACAATATCACAGAATGAGAGAAAACGTGGACGAATGCGTGATCAGTCCCAATCACCTGTCACAGCTTCGACAAACACAGACGCGAGAAACAATATCGTCTCTTGCCTATTGCCTATTGTTGCTTACGGTGCACAAGGCGCTGGTGTTCCGAGCGCTGCCAATCGCCACATAGTGCGGAGTGGCAAATAGAGCCCTGAGCCTTGCTCATTGCTTTATCACTTCATTGCCTGGCTACTGTGCAACCCCATTACTTGTTGAAATACTGCGAGCTTCACTTGATTACGTACGCCCTGGCAGCATTGGACTTCACATGCTTGCTGTTGGGGAATCCTGGCAGGACTGATATATATATATATATATAGATTCGATGCTCAACACATTGCCATTGCGTTCCGCACTCGCCACCGTGCCGTAGGCACTAAGTGGAGAGTCATCAGGTCCATTTGAATTATTCGTGTTGAGCATGGCAATGCTCTCTCATGGGCCCAGGCTCCCAACTGCCGGAGCCCCAAGAGGTCTCCAAGAGGCCCGCAAGAAAAGAGGCCCACGAAAGGCTCCCAAGAAAGCCCAAGAGATGCCCCAAGAGGCCTCCAAGACGCCCCAAGGATGCACCCCCAAGAACGCCAAGAGGCAGCCAGTCATACTCTGACCCACAAGCCAGGCACGGTGGCGGGATGAGCTGAAGTCGACTAGATGATCCGCCGCCTCATTTTGACTGAATCGAGGCGGCTTGTCGCGTCGAGGCTTTTTTTTTTTTTGTCCGCAAACGATGACCTCAACGCTGCAGTATGCTCCGTCAAAGTTGGCCGCCCCCAGCCATATTTCGCTGAGTAATGGTAGGGAGTAATGGTAGGGCCCACTATCATCCCCCATCTGTGGCGCATGGACTGATGCAAAGACCGTGGCTGGTGGTGTCTGGCCCAGAATATCACTTTCAAGACTCGCTGGGCAGTGGTCACCTTCGCGTCTACTGCCCACCGTTCTCGCAAGCACAGGTGTCATTGTTTTACTGTGTTTGGATCGGCAAGGCAACGATGCTCTGCCTTCCGCTGAGCAAAAATGCCCAATGCGATTTCGTTGAATAACGCCAGCGCCCATTTCCGCTGCCCGCATTTTTCGCCCACGCCGATTCCACTTTTGTAGCTGATGGTGTTCGGCTCCACGTTCGCCTGTTGCATCTTGCTCAACAACGAGAGCGCCTGTTGCCATTGCATACCCATCTCGCACGCGCCCATCCCAGCGTTGTAGATGACGACATCGGGCTCCAACATCGCCTCCAACATCTCGCCAAGCAACGACAGAGCCAGCTGCCACTTCATATTTTTGGCACACGCGCTGATCCCACCGATGTAGCTGATGGTATCTGGCTCCATCATCGTTTCCCATATCTCGCTGAGCAGCGCCAGTGCACGCTGCCACTGCTCGCCATGACTGCACGCGCTGATCGCACAGTTGTAGCTGATGACGTCTGGCTCCACGCTCGCCTCCTGCATCTTGCCGAACTGCGACAACGCCTGCTGCCACGATCCAGCTACCTTGCACGCGGCGATCCCAGAGGCGTAACTGCAAACATTTGGCTCCACCTTCGCCTCTTGCATCTCGTTGAATAGCGACAGAGCATGCTGCCATTGCCCGCTATTCCCGCACGCGCTGGCGCCACAATTGTAGCTGAAGACGTCCAGCTCCACCTTCAGCCACTGCATCTGCCCCATCACCGCCAACGCTTGCTGCCACTGCCCGCCTTTCAGACACGCACTGATTCCTTCATTGCAGCAGAAGACGTCCAATTCTAGCGTTGCTGTTAACATGTCGCCCAATATCGACAACGCCTGCTGCCACTGCCCGCCTACGCTGAACACGCTGATCACACCGGTGTAACTGATGACGTTTGGGCTCAATTCAACCTCCCGCATCTCGCTAAGCAGCGACAGCGCGTGCTGCCACTGTCCACCTTTCTCACACGCGCTGATCGCAGCGCTGTAGCTGGTGACGTCTGGCTCCAACTTCGCCTCCCGCATCTTGCCGAGCAATGGCAATGCCTGCTGCCACTGCCCGCATTTTTCGCAGGCGCTGATCGCGCCACTGGAGCATACAACGTCAAGCTGCAATTCCACTATTCGCATCTCGCTGAGCAACGACATCGCTTGTTCCCACTGCCCGCCTTTCTCGCACGCGCTGATCCCAGCACCGTAGATAACGGCGTCTGGTTTCATCGTCGCGTCCCACATCGCACTTAGCAGCGACAGCGCCTGCTGCCACTGCCCGCCTTTCTCGCATGCGCTGACGCCCCCACTGCAGCAAACGACATCCAATTCCAACTTCGTCTGCCACATCTCGTGGAACAGCGACAACGCCTGCTGCCATTGCCCGCCTTTCCCGCACGCGCTGATTCCACCGCTGTAGCTGAAGACGTCCAACTCCAACTTCGCACCCTGCATCTCGCTGAGCAACGATAATGCTTGCTGCCACTGCGCACATTTTTCGCACGCGCTGACGCCAGCACAGTAGCTCCTAACATTGAGCTCCAAGTCCACCTTCCGCATCTCGCCAAGCAGCGACAGCGCCTGCTCCCACTGCCTGCCTTTTTCGCACGCGCTGATCGCAGCATTGCAGCCAATCACATTGGGCTTCAACCTCGCCTCCCACGTTTCCCTGAGCAACGACAGCGCAGGCTGCCACTGCCCGCATTTCCCGCAGGCGCTGATCCCGCAGCTGTAACTGAAATCGTTCGGCTCCAATCTCACCTCGCGCATCTCGCTGATCAAGAACAGTGCACGCTGCCACTCTGCACCTGTGCTGCACGCGCTGATCCCAGCGGTGTAGCTAATGTGGTCTGGCATTATATCCAGCGACCACATCTCCCTGAGCAGCCACAGCGCCTGCTGCCACTGATTGGCATTTCCGCACGCGCTGATACTGCTGCTGTAACAGATGACGTCTGGCTCCAGCGTCATGCCAGCCAGCTCCCTGAAAAGCGACAGCGCATGTCGCCACTGTTTGCTCTTTCCGCATATGCCGACGGTCACACAATACAGACTGAGGCTTAGATCCGCATGTGGTTGGGACGACTCGCGCAACAGGCGCAGCGCTGCAATCCATTGCTTTGCGGCCCCACACTTGTCGATCGCACCTTTGACGGAGAAGGCACCCTGCCGAGACCCCTTCAAGCTTTTCTGCATCAACGGATCTCCACATCATGTGTTGGTGCACGTCTCCCAAGAATCTCAACTGTTGGGCCTTGAGCCAAAATGGCTTGAGCCAAAATGGCTACGGACTTGTCGCGTCGAGGCTTGGCACTTCTTGCCCTTCCAAAAAAGCTCTAAATGGCCTCCAGCCCAACCCGCAGCCCACCTTGAAACCACAGCAAGCCGCTGCCAAAGACATCTTCCAATGGCTTTTTTCGCCGAAGATGGCTCCATGACGGCTTCTAACATGGCAAGGATGGCTTCCAATACGCCTCCGAGACGGACAAGATGGTCCTGAGAGGGCCCAAGATGGCTCCAAGATGGCCCCAGCTGGCCAGGAGAGCCAGACAAGGACAAAATAAATGGTGTTCACATGGTGTTCTCCATGTCCTGCAAGGCCTCAAGATCGCCCCTGAGACAGGCCCACACCTTCACGATACCAACCCAGAAGAGCCCGAAGAGGGCTCCAAGACGGCCACATACTGTTGCGTATTGCCCAAATGCTATCAAATCGAGCCCCTTGGGGGAGCTCTATGGAACCACCGCGCCACCGACGGGCCCCCGACGGGTGCCAGACGTGCCCCCGAGAGGCCCTCGTGAGGGGCCCGAGAGGCTCTCAACAGGCCCAAGTGAGCCCGCAAGAAGCCTCCAAGATGATTTCAAGCCAGCTCGAACAAGGCACTGAACTTGAGCGGGTCTTGAGCTTGCCCTTCTTTCTGCTGCGCTGCTTCGCTGGCACGACGGCGGGCATTGCCGCAGGCAGCTGGGCAGATTCACACGGCGCCGCAGATCACAGCATGGCTCTGCATCAAACGACGAAGCAGAGCACGGCATACCGCAGCACTCCAAAGAAAGGCAAATCTTAGCACCACCCTTCCCGTATTGTAATGCAATACCAAGCATGGCGCAGCACAGCATGGCATCGAATCGCACAGCACCAGAAGCACAGCTCGACATCGAAGGCACAGGGCACGAGCACAGACGACGACGACAACGACTGTCTGCACAAGACGCCGCTGCTTGATCGTTTTGAATGTTGTCGAGAGTACGACGACGATTGGGAGGAGGACGAGGAGGAGAAGAAGAAGAGGAGAAGAAGGAGGAGGAGGAGGAGTGATGCGGGCCAGGACGCCACGCGCGCGCCTCCTGGACAGGAATACAGTCGGCCTCCCGCGAGTCTTAGCAGTCTCCGCTGTCGCGGCGCCACCTACACCTAAGATAGAAGAAGAAACAATTGCATAAACATTCACTTTTGAAAGTCCTCGCGGATTTCTTAGATCCGCGCTGACTCCCCTCCCCGGCGCGCAGAGGACGCCAGGGGCAGCGCCGGAGGCACCGCCAGGGGGGGCCCAGCGCAGATCCAAGAAATCCGCGCGGAGCTCCGAATTTTTGATTATGTCGCTGCTTCTTCTTCGATAGGCTCATGCCCCTCCTCCTCCTCCTCCTCCTCCTCCTCCTCCTCCTCCTCCTCCTGCTCCTCCTCCTCCTCCTCCTCCTCCTC